GCGTCCCCCCGCAGACCGCCCAGCCTCCGCAAGCTCGCTCGCCCCGGCTCTCCGGCGGCTAGCTGGGTGCCTCGGGTGTGCCTCACGGCCCGGCTGAAACAAAGCACGCTGCTAAGTTTGGTTCTGTTCGGACTGATTGGCTGATTTTTGCTTAGTGTTCTCTAAAACAAAGCGCTCCAACTGTAGGCTCCTCTACCTGGGGAAATCGGTCACAGCCCTGGGTCCTATGAAGGAGAAACAGTCACTTGTCAAGCACTTTTGAAACACTCAAAAGGATTCCTCGCAACAGCTTGTGAGTCTGCACTCCCGAGGGTGAGCCACCTGCCTCCGGCGACAGTAAGTCCCCCAGAAGGGTTCACAAGCTCCTGATCCTGGGTCCACAGGGGAGATAAGCTTCCTGTGGCTTTTCTCGTCTTCTAGGCTGTTCCCCTGACCTCATTCCACTCACCTCTGGTACTAAAATCTTATCTCTTCATCCTAAACTTCTCTGGTATATTGACTGTCTGGAGAACATGGACCATCGCCCTGCAGGAAAAGGGATGTTTCACTGGAGTTGTGTTTGGAAGCTTATAAGCACATCTGAGACATTCTCTAGAATCAAAATAATTTTTCACACGTCTGTTTTTGCCATTTTCTTACACATCAGAACCTCTGGCAGCCCTGGCAAGCCCACTATATTAAGCCAAAAGCCATAAATATGTACATCATAGTCCAAAGTATTAGTACCAAGAACAAAAAAAAGGTTTAAAAAATTGCTTTGTTTGCATATACAGGATTGAAAACGAAGTATGCAACAAATAAATTACAAATGTACATCTCAGCAGTGCAGGGGGGTTCTCTTCTATTTCTAAAAACACTGCTGTCTGCAATGACAATCCAATTGTGGAAAATTACTAACCTCAGAAGACAAAGATCACACCCCCCGCACACTACCTTTCCCTTTAGCCTCTCCCCAGCAAAATGAAGAAAAGGAAAGAGGGGGGAAAAACTCTTCAAAGCGGCAGAGGGGAGAGAGAAAAGGCCATGTCCGAGGCTGCGCACTCAGCACACCAGCTCGCGGGTTTCTATGTTATTAGTGAATAAATAGCTCTTTAAGGCAGAGGAGGAACATTCTGTGGATCCGGTGCTGTTGGCTCATCTCACTCACGTGGTTTCAGTGGCCGAGGATGAGGTACTTTTCTTCCTGAAGCGAGATCGAAGGATTCTAGGCGGTGCCTGGTAGGGAAAACAGAAAAAGGATCCCTCAGTTTGGCATAAACGTGGGACATTTTGGGGACGGCCCCTGGCTGGGTTTGTGTTGTGACATCCAGCTCTGCAGGCCAAATGCAGGTGTGTGTGTGTGAGGAGGCGGGGGGGGGGCACTCGGAGCCTCGGCAGTGGGAATCAGTCATGTCCCCGCAACCCCGTGATGCCGGGCCCCCCTCTTCTTCACACTCTCCTAAGTCCCTGGACCTCCCGAGTCAATGGTGGTGCAGAAGGATGACACAGCTTGTTTCTGCCCTGGGAGCAAAATGATCTCAACAAATGACTCAGCAGAGAGAGAGGCCTCCCCAGCGCTTTGCAATTTCCTCTGGGAACCGGCCTCGTGTTTCTTGGTACGTGCTTAAAAATTCCATCACCCAGTTTTCAGTCCTCTTTCATGCACAGCAAACCACACAGCAGAGAAAACACTGTCTTTAGGTACGAAGGGTTCTACCTCATCTCCCCTGCAAATGACTCTCCAGCAGCCCCTCCTTCCAGGGGGCACACACATCACAGGGGAAGTTACTTTTACGATAAAAGAAAAGGGAGATATTTGTCCTAGCATAGCACTCAAGGGCGTTCACACCTGGCCCACTTCTCCGTACTCAGCTTCTTTCTCTGCACTGTCCTTTCACACCCTCCTCCCTTCTCTGTCTGGATATTTCTAATGCTCCTGAGGACCCAGCTACAAAGTCACTCCTGAGCCCCACCCGCTGCGACCCACTCACAGCCAGGATCCCCTCCTCGGTTCTCACGGTGTTTAACCCATGAGAGGATGTCAGGGGCTTTGCACTCGTGGTGGAGTGTGCCTCTCTGCTCACTGTCTGCCCTGCCACACTGACTTCCGGAGGGCAGGTCCATGTCACCACCATTTCCCAGCCAGTAGCACATGCCCCGCGGGCACATGGAAGGGAGTCAGGAGAAGAAGAGGCAGGAACCGAAGGCTCTGGCCTTCCACATCCTGAGTCCTCACACTACAACTTTAGACTAGGCAATGGGTACCAGCCACCTCTGGACAGAGTACAAGAAGAATCGCTGAAGCGTCTGTGTAGTAATCGGCCTCAGCAGTTCAACGGTAACAGTAAAACACCCTGTGCAGCTTTAAAAAGCACAGAACCAAAAAGGTACAAACCCTCGGGATCTGGAATGGTTCTGGCAACTTCCCTGCCTCTGGGATGAGCCGCTCTCCCCATCATGGCACTGCCCAGGCTGTAAAGGACTCCTTGGGCAGAGTCCAAACCCAGAATATCTTTTACCAAAACGTCTAACTTCAAAACTGACCCCTGCGTGCCCCACCCGGGGAAGAAGCCTGATGGCCGCATGCGCACCGCGGCGGTAAGGACTGTGGTCCTCGTGCGAACAGGGCCGGCGGGCCCCTGAGTTGGAGGCGGGGAACCGTTCCATGCACTGCCTCACCTGAGTCTCACAAAGGTCTCTGCTGTCTGGATGGGGGACTCTCAACTTGCCTCAGATGGACTCTCGGGCCGCTGTGTTCAGCAGGTGGGGAAGGAGAAGCCAACGCTGGGGTTCCCCGATTCTGCCCGCCCAGCACTCGAGCCCCAGCTGGTGACCCTACTACACAGAGCCAGGTCCTGAGGCTCTTGGCTTGGCCCTCTTGCTGCCAAAACTCCAATCACATCCACAACTGGCAACAGTACATGTACCAGGTGCATTGTTTTGGTCATTTTGAAGGCTGTGCCCCTCCAGTAACATTGTATGGATATCTACTTTGTACCAGGAACTGTGCTGGGTCTTGAAGACACAGAGATGAACAAGCTTTATTTATAAAAATTTGTCATATAACACATTCTGAGCGTTTCTTCCCCCAAAACACTCGCTTGGGATGCTTTTCACTCACGCATCACCTTAGGCTACTAGATGGGCTTTTACGGTTTTGTTTGTTTAAATCCCTAGGTGCTATCTCACCTCTCCTATTTCTAAATAAAAGCACAGAGTCTTTTTCATCCCTTGGCAAGCAGCCAGATGCTACCTAGTGGCTTGGCCTGCCCATTTGATGGAGGAAGATCTCCCCGCCCCAGGCACTCAGGAGATGTTGGGTGTCCCAGGAGATGCCACCCACAGGAGCCCCAGATCTCCAGGGTGAAGCCCTTTGTGCAAACACACGCTCCAACCCACAGCCCCTGACACTGTGTACCTCCACGGGGAACTCCGTCTTTCGAGGTGCCTTATACTTGTACATGAAATCCAGCAAGTCTTCCTCCTCCTCGTCAGAAAACGCCAGTGGATTTTGGACCTGGTGGGGCTCCCACGCCTTCACACCACCCTCATCCACATCTCCCTCAACCACTTAATGTCCATTTACAATCTACACAGAGGAGACAAAGTACAGCGAGGAGGGATCAGTGTAGAAAGGAGCAAAGGAGGGCAGGCAAGGTCAAGGTTAGGCACACAGCACAGCAAGTCAGGCCGGTTAGGAGAGCCAAGGCCCCGGTAGCACCTGGGGACACTGCAGGGGATCCGGGATCACGAGGGTGCAGAGGTGAGACTGGTCAGGCACTATGCACAGGAACAAGTACAGACTTCAGATCTGCTGAGACGTTAACAAGGGAGGTGGCCTTAACTGCGACGTGTCAAACCCTGCAGCTTGGAGCAGTGAGGCCACACCAGAAGAATGCTCGGGAAAAG